CTCCAAATCCACAAAACCAGCCTGAAAATGAAGGAAATCTGAAACGACTGCAGATTAGCTTCATTCAGTGCACTTTTCTAGTTTAGGTATTTATTTTCAACAGGAGGAAACTCTCCTTCCTGGTGTTATATTTCATTTTCTTGTATTACTTCATTGTTTCTCTTTCTTGTTTATTTGTGAAACTTAAAACCTGACAAAATGAACAAAAACAACAAAAGACAAATCTTACTGAAGCTTCAGTCTACATATATAATCTCATCTTTGATCTGTCTGTTTGAATATTAAAGAAGTCACTCAGAAGAACTCGGCTACATCAGACTGCAGGTCAGATTTGTCCTTGAGCTGCCAACAGATCAGCTCACCTTTCCTAACCTTAGCCATTAGATGAGAGATTGCAAAATCGACCCTGCCTGACGCACTGCGCTCTCCTGGATAATCCTCATCAACCAGACAATCTGAATTCACTGAAACAGCCCACTTTCACATCATAACTGCGCCGGCAATCATTCATCTTCAAGTGCTCTGATGGATTACAGTTTCATTATGCATTGTTCCCATAAATAAAAGTGTAATCACTGGCTGACAATGTCACGACATCCCTCTTTCAGATATAAAGGGAAAACCTATCGCTCCACCATCCGCATCGTCCGCCTCGCAGACCAGATCCCAGACTTCTGCCGTAAGGTGTGCGTGAAGTTGCAGTGCTGCCCGAACCTCTTCAGCCCTGTCCTCGTCACCGACAAGTGCCCGGAGAACTGCTCCGTTCAGACCAAAACCAAATACAGTGAGTCTCTGTAATTAAACGCATCACTTCCTGCACCACAGCTATGAAGAAGACCCCAAATCACTGCAGAGTGTATAATTGCCTCTGATGAGTAGCTAGGGTTTGTTTTCGGGTGTATTGTTTTCAACATCTGCTGGTGCGTCCGCAGCCTATTACTATGGGAAGAAGAGGAAGCTGTCCAAGCCGACGGGAGGAGAGGAGGCAGCCGAGGGAGAGCTGGCCAAGCCGACGCGCCGCAGGAAGAAGAGGAAAGCTATCTTTGTGCAGAAGAAGAGACGCTCGTCAGCTGTGGACTACACTCCTGCTGGCTCACCGCAGGTTAGATAACACTTCTTCTTCTTCTCCACTTTCCGCCTTGTCTCTTCTTCTTTTCTTCCTCCCTTGTATCATGTTAACGGGGCGTCCTGTCAGATCCAGCTCACACAACAGGCGGATACTGTACAGTCATAATTTACTGTATAAATATAAACATCCCAACATGTGACAGGAATAAGAGGAGCTTCACAGGCAGGAAATGTAGCTCAGCTAGTTCAGTTTAGACAGCTGACTAAATCTGAATTTATACCAATTAAAGGCTCGATCTTGAATTAGTGCTTTGGTTTTATGTGTGATGTCGCATAAAGGAAAGATTCAATCTCAACTCGGTTATGAATTATTGTTTGTGGGTGTTTTTACCACTGAAATGTGGATTGTTTACTGGTCAGACTGGTTTGTAGCTGGTTTTTCACCAAGAGAAATACTGAGGTAAGAGACTGTGCTGAGCAGAGCAGCAACAAATTTTTATTTTAATTAGAGATTAATCTGCAGATTAGTTTCTCAATTAATTGTTGGGTCTTTAAGATGTTGCTTTTTTTGTCGAGTTGAAATGATAAGTTGATTAATGGAAAAATTAATAGGCAACTATTTTGATAGTCGATGAATAATTTGAGCCATTTTGTTCTGCAAATAAATTTAAAAATAGCGTGTTCTTGTTGCTCTCATTTCAGTATTTTCTGTTTTTTATCTCCTGTGTCATTACAAACTGAGTATCTGATGGCTGTTAGACAAAACAATACATTGAAGGCATCACTTTGAGCTGTAGGAAAATGAGACAGTCATTTTTAGCATTTGCTGACATTTTATACACCAAATAATTAATCAATAAAAGCACATTAATTGATCATGGAAATATATCTTAATTGTAGCCTTATTATAGTGTTCAAGCAATAGTCCAAAACCCAAATATAAAGAGCAGCAAAAGCCCCACAACTGAGACGCTGGATAAAGGTAATATTTGGCATTTTTGCCTTAAAAATGACCCAAACTATTACCCAATTTTTTTGTCAAGTCGACTGATCAATTCATCATTTCAGCTCTAGAGCTGTTGTAGCAAAAGAGTTGTACTTACTTGGTTTGATAGAATTTTATTGAATCTGAAACAAATATAAAATGAGCTTAATACGTATATCCATATCAGGGCAGCAAGGTGGTACAGTGGTTAGCAATTTTAAATAACAAGAGTTAAAAGTCATAAGCTTCATAATTTAGAACTAAAACTCAAATGCCGACTTCAGGTTTGTATTTCTGCTGTTAACCTGTTACATTCCCCCTCACCAATCACTAGAGACCCACATACCACTTGAATCTAACATTGCTTTAAGCCCACACTGATGCGTAGCCATGCCAACATACTTGTTTTGCCGAGGTTTTAAAAGAAAAGCAGGGCAAAGTAAAACAAACTACAGTGTCAGCAGATATTGAGAAGACATTTTGATTTAAAACAGCCTTGATAGCAGTGTCTGGCTTGTCTATGGGGCTTGCCATTGTTAATACTCCTCATTGGTTCCCACACACTGCTTGACAACAGCTTGACAACGGCGTCAGTCCAGGCAATGGCACTGATTGGTTAGTGAAGCCCCCCTGCAGCATTGGTTGGTCAGTTTTTATTTTAACCACTGTTGTTGTTTCACTGAGTCAGTCAACTCAACTAGAAACACACTGAAGATTCAATAAGAGACTCCGGTAAAGCTCAAAGAATCTGGGTTTGGAGCCGGTCCTAGGAACCCAACCCCGCGGAGCAGACGATGTAAACTCTCAGTTCATGCCCTGAGTGGAAACTTGAAACTCTTGCGGGCAACATGAGTCATGTGTAACGTCACTCACGAGGAACTTCAGACTAATCTCACCCATGCTCCTGTCCAGTTCAAATATCTCCTCCTGTGAGTGACACCAGTGAGACACCAGTGGAGCTGGAGAGTATTCGAGTTAAATCATCATTTTGGCTGTTTGATCAAACATGAAAAAAAAGATTCGGAGACAATATTGTAGAAACATTCCCTGGGCAAGAAACAGCTGATTCATGTTTTAAGCCAACTAGCCAAAACATGGTCTCACAAAAACTATTTCAGAACTTTCCAGAGGGAACATCTGAGGTACATTCAACACTGCAAAGAGTTTGCCCACCAAACTGAAGCCTTAAAAACCACACCTGCAGCCAACCTATCTGACTCTGACTCTTTCTTTCTCCCTCAGGACAGCGAGGATGATGAAGAGATGGCGCTGCAGTCGGGCAGCGAAGGCACCAGCTCGGAGCCCCGAGAGGACCACACCGACGCCTCCTCGGTGGAGGTGACCAGCAGCCGTCCTCGCCGGGCTGCTACGCTGCGCAGGGCCTTCAGCGCCGGCAACACTCCCAGCAGCCAGGAGGCCCCAGAGGGCCGCAGGAGGTCGACACGCTCGCTGTCGGCTTACAACCATAACAGCAAGTACCAGCCTCCCAAAGGACAAGACGTGCAGGTGCGGACAGACAGACGGCACACTGACAGAGGTTCAGCCCTCACAGTGGTTACTGACAAGCATGTGTCCAGTTTAATGACTCATGAAATTAATGAAGAAGTGTGTTTTATATGTATGTGTCTTCCATTATATGTGTGTGTCTTCCATTATATGTGTGTGTCAGGTGGAGGAGGAGGACGGTCAGCTGGTTTTGGACAGAAACCCTCTCGAGTGGAGCGTCGATGAAGTCGTTCAGTTTATCAACTCTACTGACTGTGCGTCCCTGGCCAACATCTTCCAGGAGCAGGTAAACACACACACACACACACACGTGACGACACTTACCGACAAACTATATTAATTAGGCCACACCTCTTACCATCACAACCGCCTGTTTAACCACAAAAGGCCCAAACACTTTGCTCCACAAAGACGTACAGGAGTGCACGCACAGTTGTTCAGATTATCTCTTAAGGAAGTAAATTTACTCTCTCTGGTCCTCGTCTTTTCACAGCTGTTTTCCACTTACAACATTATGAGCTAATATTTGTTTTTAAGTACAGCATCAGATATCAGGAGGTCAGTCACCACCCGGAGTGTTTGATTAAATATTACTTCAGTGCGTGACGTCAGATGAGCCTGACAACATGCCGATAATCAGAAACACTTTACAGATAGTAAGGGTTTATATTTTCAGGGTTATTCAAGAGCAAATTAAAGATTTAAAAGAAAATCAATGGTGCAAGAAATCAGGGTCAAAATCTGATTTTAAAAATTGCTTTTCTACTTATTAAGAGGCTAATGTGCATGTTTTACACCTTTTATTCTCATTGCCTTTTATGACCAGAGGCTTGACTAAATGGCAAGAGGATCTGGTTTACCATTGGCAGCAGTAAAGAGCACTTTTACAGCATGAACAACAACAATTTTTGGATGCATGAGGACATAAAAAACGTCTTTCTTTTGAAACAATTCGTAGTAAAGAACGGTTGTTGAATGTAGAGGGAAAAAGGAAAGTAAAATTTGCTTCTGTCGGCCACTTTAAGCAGAAAAATTCGAGTGACACCTTTCTCCTTTTCTCTGTTTAAATATTTATATGCATCTCTTGTGCAGGACATCGACGGTCAGGCCCTGCTGCTGCTAACTCTGCCCACCGTACAGGAGTGCATGGACCTGAAGCTCGGCCCTGCCATCAAACTGTGTCACCAGATAGAGCGCGTCAAGGTTGCCTTTTACAGACAGTACGCCAACTGATCAAGGAGCAGCAATGGCAAGTCGCCCACTGAACACCCGCTCAGTGGAAAGAGAAGTTGTGGTCCTGCACCACTGGGAAATGTTGGATTAGGTGCCTCCTGGTGGAAAGTTTCGGAAAGATGGATTTCCAACTTGGAAGAAGGAGGGATATTTTCTGGAGCGGTTGTGATGGAAAAGCACAAACTAAGTCACAAACAGGAGAAGGTTTCCCTATGAGAAGCTGAAGGATGGATTTATGGGGTACTGTTGGTGTGAAAATGTGACGCAGTACCCACAAAAACGTCCCCACTGCCGACTGTGGCGGAACAAAACACATGGGGGTGGATCCATGTGCTTTACTGAACTGTGAAGAAGTTGTTATGAGAAGCTGAGGACTCGATTCTGAAGACATTTGTGTTTATTTCTTACTTTTCATTTCTATTTTTATTTGTGCTAGAGGAGCATTTAAGTTAAAAATAATCACTGACCATTGAGAGTTTTCCCCTTTTTGTTTGACGTAACTGATTCGGAAAGTATATATTTGAAAAGTATTTAACAAACCAGTGATTAATATATTTGGAATATTTATTTAATCTATTTGAATTTAGAGAAAATAATTGGTCAGTTATAAAATAATGTCATTATTAACTCTTTTTCTGCTGAAACAAAGCCCTGAAAGATGTCTAAGTTATTCCACAAACAGACAGAGGATGTGCATTTATTTAGATTTACACTTCAGTTGTGTTTATGGAGGAGAAACAGGTGTTTGGGGAAAATAACACCCTCTTAAATACTTTGTGTTGTGTTGCTCTCTTCTCATTGTTACAATCACATGGAACAATCATGTAAGCTATTTTGTGTCCATCTATGCAAATGTGTTGCAGATATTTTTGATAAGTAAGAAAATAAATTTCTATTGATTTTTTATCTGTTTTGTAGGAACCTTCTTTCACAATAACAGGACCATTTGTTTTTTTACTGCTACACCCACAGAACTATGAGTAATAACAGCATGAAGTAGTTATTTTCACAAAAGATACAGTTTGAGCCCAAGTTCCTTAGAAATGACTCCAGGTTATATTCTGGGTAACATTAAGGATGAGGAAACAATATTGCTAGAGAAAGTTATGATTCAGACGATTTACTTAGAGTAACAGTGTGTAAGATTTAGGGGGATTAAGTGGCACCTAGCAGTCAGGATTGCATATTGCTACCAGCTGAAAGTTTTCGCGGTTAGATTTCCTTTAGCGTTCATTGTTCAGAAGATATTTATCATGAGCCGAATTATCTCCAGAGGTCTCCTCCTCTCCTAAACAAATGGATGAGGTGATTAAAAACAGTAAAACACTGAATAACCTCCTGAGACCCATAGTTTTTTTGGTACGCATTCTTATTTCTCCTAGCTACTTCCGATCAGTAGGATTCAATAAGTACGAAAAACAGTTAATCGTTAACAACAGTAAAGTCCCAATGTCTTCAAACGAGTTTGTCCTAATTAACAGTGTCTCATCTTGTTAATGTTGCTAAAATTAGTCAAATGTGTTGCCATATCAAATTACAAACATTATTAATCATAAATAAAAACGTTTCAATTATAAAATGTGATCAGGTTTGGGACCTTGTCCACTTTTGTGTCGGGATCAGCTGCAGACTGACTTGGCAGAGATGGCTGCCATCTTGTCTTTACATGGATTAATGTATTGAGGTCTCACTACCAGTAACACAAGAAAGTGTCCACGGATGAGGACAACAGGTCTAAGTTAAAGGAGCAACATGTAAGAAATCTAAAGCAAATAGTCATAAAATCCTCCTAATATGTCACAGAGACTAAGGAATAATGTTCATATAACATACTGATCTCAC